AGGGCAATGAATGTACAAATGCGCTTTACATAATTGATGTATGTATGGGTTGTGATAAGAGTTGAATGAGCCCCAAATAAAATGATTAAAAATAAAAAGAAGAAGAAGTAGGTCCAGAGTGCTCCTTAGAGGCATAGATGGTGAGCAACCTTGAGTTCTTTGGACTCATTGTCAGGAGAGACCGGTCCCTGGAGAAGGACATCAGGCTTGGTAAAGTGGAGGGAGGGGCAGCCCAAAAGAGGAAGGCTTCAGTGAGATGGATTGGCACAGTGGCTGCAACAATGGGCTCAAGCATAGGAACAATTGTGATTCTAAGGGTTCAATAGAAAGTAAATGTTTAGAAAATAATGATGGCAACATCTGTACAAATATGTTTGATACAATTGATGTATGGGTTGTTAAAGAGCCCCCAATAAAATGATCTTTTAATTTAAAAAAATTGTAGAGGAAAAAAAAAAGAACAATTGTGAGGCTGGTGCAGGGCCAGGCAGTGATTCGTTCCGCCGCGCACTGGGTCACTATGGGCTGGAGCCGATGGGACGGCACCTAACAACAGGTATATAATGAAAGAGGACATCATGGAATTCCATCTTGATGTTATGTGGAAAACAGAACTTGTCAAGGTGGAAATCCCGTATTTATCAGGGATTTCCAAGGACGTTGTTAGGGTGTGCCCTGGTTTCTTCTATTTGTTTATGTTGATATGTAAGGAGAGAGAGAGAACCTGATGGAAGGACTATTAAGTGGAAAAGAACCATGACTTGATTATTTGAAATTCTCAGATTGCAAAGAAGGTTAAGGTTCAGTCAGGAAAGCCCCACAGTAACCTTTGGCTATTATCTCAGAAAGATCAAAAGGTCAGAGATTAAGGTGTGCGTCAAAGCTCCTCTTAAGCAAACGAGGGAGCATCTGAATCTAGGAAGTTCAAGACTATTCTCTCTCAGTCATCTGAGCAAAAACGAAACAGAGATCATCCAGGATGATCCCGTGGGGGAGAAAGCGCTGGTCTGATGGAGTGGATCCGTCATATACATGAGCGCTTTAGATCAGCAGAAACCACAGCTTGGACTTGGGGGGAAAAAGATGAAATGATAAGCTGTTAGAACCCCAGCGTTCTACAGTCAAAGACAGGCTGATAAACTTGAGCTGCAAATGCATGCTACTGCTATTGCTGTCACAAGTCCTGGTGGCCAAGCGAGTTGCATGTGCAACTGCTACTGCAGGGTCAGTAGTTTGAAAGCACCAGAGGTCCTGAGGGAGAAAGACGTACAGCCTGAAACCCATGGGCCAGTTCTACTCGTCCTGGAGGGCGGCTTGGGCCCTGAGCCAGGGAATGTGGGGAGCCACTACCAGCAGGATACGTTAACTAACTCACTGCCATCGAGTCATTCTGACTCCTAGGGACTCTGTAGGTCACGGTAGAATTGCCGGGTTTCTGAGACTGCTGGTGGTTTCAAGGTCGGCTGCTGATCTTGAGGTTAGCAGCCCAATGTGTAAGCACTATACCACCAGGGAGAGAGAGTCTCCTCTAAAGCCACTAGATACTTCCTGCTAACACCTTGATCTTAGTTCTGGGAGGTCTAGGTGAAACTTCTCACCTACAAAACTGTAAGGAAACACATTAAAAAAAAATCATTTAATTTGCTTCCAGCACTTTGCCTGAAGAATTTCAATAATCTAAAGCTGTCACTGAATTTTTTATTGTTTAAAGTCAGTGAAGTCTGTGGGAATTTTGTCATGACAGTCATGATAAAAATGAATACAGAATTTGTAATTAAGAAAATGGACATAGAATTTGGTACCAGGAAGTGCGGTGCTGTTGTAACAAATACCTAAAAATGTGGAAATGGCTTTGGGACTGGCAAATGGCAGCAGCTGAAAGAATTTTGGGTAGCATCATAGGTAAGAGAACGGCTAAGTTATTTTGAAGAGAATGTGGATATTAAAAGTCCTGCTGTCGAGGAGCCCTGGTGACCTAGTAATTACACATTGGACTGTGATCCACAAGGTCGGCAGTTCAAAACCACCAGCCTCTTCTTACTGGAAAAGAGGACTTGAAGCACTTTATTGATGAAGCTCAACGATTGTAGCCTTCAGTGTGAATTACAACT